GGGAAACACGATGGAACAGGTAGAAAAGAGCACGCCATCTACTATCTAAGCAAAAAATTTACTGACTATGAAACCCGATACTCACTCCTTGAGAAAACTTGTTATGCTCTAGCCTGGGATACTAAACAAATGAGACAATATATGTTAACTCACACCACGTGGTTAATAGCAAGAATTGATCCTATGAAGTATGTGTTTGAAAAGCCATCTCTCACATAAAGAATTGCTCGATGGCAGATGTTGTTATCCGAATACGACATCCAATATGTTACTCAAAAAGCTATCAAGGGTAGTGTACTAGTTAATCACCTGGCTCATAAACCATTAGCAGAATATCGACCAATAAAGTTTGATTTTACAGACAAAGACATCATGGTTATAGGTGACTACGAAATACTAAAACCTGACGAAGGACCTAAACTAGGGGCACGATGGACACTCATGTTTGACGATGCTTCAAACGCAATAGGACATGGTATTGGGGCCGTATTAACTTCTTCGAAGAATTTTCATAAACCTTTTACTGCGAGGTTATGTTTCAATTGCACCAATAATATTGTTGAATAAGAAGCTTGCATCATGGGTCTAGAAGCAGCCATTCATCTATGAATTAAACACCTCTAAGTATATGGAGACTCAGAGTTAGTCATATACCAAGTCAATGGTGAATGCGATACTCGGAATCCTAAATTAATTCCATATTGGGATTATGCTTTAGAGCTAGATACAGAATTTATAGAGATCACTTTCACTCAATCCCCCGAGAAGAAAATCAGATGGCTGGCGCCTTGGAAACTTTGTCAGTCATGTTCAAAGAAACTTGGCCAAATCATGAACCATAAATCACGATCATATATTTCAAAGAACTTGCACATTGCCTCGCAGTTGAAGAAGAACCAGATAAAAAACGTTGTTTCTACGACATCAAGAGGTATCAAGAAAAGCAAGAATATCCAGAAGGTGCCTCAATCATAGACAAGCAAACTCTACAAAAGCTAGCTGCGAAGTTCTTCTTAACTAGTGATATGTTGTACAAAAGAAACTACAACATGGTGTTACTCAGGTGCATAGAGAAACATGAAGCACATACGCTCATGAGAGAGATCCATGAAGGAATCTTCGAGACTCATACAAACGTACATGCCATGGCTAGAAAAATCTTAAGAGCAGGTTATTATTGGTTGACGATGGAAGCTAACTGCTACCATTATACAAAGACATGTCATAAATGTCAAATCTACGCTGACAAGGTGCACGTCCCACCAACTCATATCAATGTACTAAGTTCACCATGTTTGTTCTTGATGTGGGGAATAGATATGATAGGAATGATCAAACCAAAGGCTTCCAATGGACATCGATTCATACTAGTCGCCATTGATTATTTTACCAAGTGGGTAGAGGTTGTGTCTTATGCAAATGAAACAAGGAAAGTGGTTACTCGGTTTATTAAGAAGAACATCATATGCAAGTATGGGGTTCTTAGCAGAATTATTACAGACAACGGGTCCAACTTGAAAAACAAAATGATGAAGGAGTTATGCAATGATTTTAAGATCGAGCATAATAATTCATAGCCTTACCGACCAAAAATTAATGGGGCCGTCGAAGCTTCCAATAAAAATACCAAGAAGATCATTAAGAAAATGGTGAAGACATATAAAGATTGGCACGAAATACTTCCCTTTGCTCTACACGGCTACCGTACTTCAGTACGTACTTCGACGGGAGCAACTCCTTTCTCTCTTGTTTATGGCATGGAGGTTGTACTCCTCGTTGAAGTAGAGGTTCCATCACTACGAGTCCTCATGGAAACCAAGCTTGAAGAATCAGAACTGGTTCAAACACGACTTGATAAGCTTAAACTTATCAAAGAAAAATGCTTAACAACTTTATGACACAGTCAGTTATACCAGAAGCGGATGAAGAAAGCATTCGATAAAAAGGTCCGTCCTTGAGTACTCAAAGAAGGGGATCTAGTCCTCAAGAAAATTCTTCCACCTCGTCTAGATTTACGTGGTAAATAGACACCTAACTACGAAGGTCCATGTATGGTTAAAATAACATTCTATGGAGGAGCTCTTATTCTCACAACAATGGATGAATAAGAACTACCGCATCCGCTAAACTCTGACACAGTAAAAAAATACTATGTATAAAAGGACTGCTAAGTCGAAACCCTAAACAGGCGACTTAGGAAAAAAGGGGTGTCCTGGTGGATTGAAAGCCCTAAAGGGAGATCTAGGAAAAAATTAGGGACATATAAACAAAATCATTATCCGGTGGATTGAAAACCCGAAAGGACGGTCCGGGCAAAAGTTAGAGATGTTTATTTCAAAAAATGAACAAATAGACTGCAGCTCGAGAACTCATTACTAAGACTACGACCAAGGGGAAGAATTAATCTAAATCATCTGACTCAAAAGTAAAGGAGATTTTAGTTATCAAAAGACGTTGGAGAATTAGCAGTATCAATTATCATTTTCATTACCATTTTTCAATCTTGTTAAAAACTTTTGTAATCACCTCTTTTTAGGAATTGCATCTTGTACTTTTGCATGTTCAAAGGTATTTTCATTAATAATACAATTCATTTTTCAATCTTTTCAAATAATGTTCAATTATATTTTTCTTTCTCCGATTTGTTTTCAATATACTACGATTATTTCTTGCAAACACTACGTCGAAATTATTCTGGGGATTTGACATTAAATAAAATCACTTGACAAAGCATCAAAAAAATATCTTGGTTAGAAAAACGTCAAAAGAAATTCATTCCTATGCCCGCGCCTACAATATAATTATCAATAATACATTGACATTGTTCACCGCAACATATCAAATACAAATCAAGTTAGAGATACCGCAACCAGCAACAAACAACGTTGAGAAGTCATTGACTCAAATAACTCAATAATTTAAAGGGAGAGAATTATCAAAGACATTCATAAGAATTTGGTGCATAAACATGAAAAACACTTGGGTATCATATGAATAGCATCATCAATGGGCGTCATATCAATTTGAGCATTATATATACATTATACATTGAATTTTCAAAATTCTTAGACCAAGACTACTGCGAAATATCTTGGGGCCTATTACAAGCCAAAACATCTGCGCGAATCAAAAATTCAAAACCTTAGCACTATTTACATCATCAGCAACAAATACTTCGGTTAAGAACAGACGCAACTGATAAATCAGGATTGTACTAGGTGATATATCTACGATTTATATCTTTGGTTTAGTCATCTGAGACTCAATTATCAAACACAATTTAAAACATTAGTGCCCATGTTATCTGCCCTCTAGGTTGTGGTAGATATGCGAAAATCTGCAATAAATCTCGTTGCGTTAGTCTCGAAGCGACAATAAGTTATCTATTTTCTGCGATATAGTTCATTGTGTTAGTCTAGAAGTGATAATGAGTTATCAAACTTTGTGTTATTTATCCTCTAAGGTGTGATAAATACACAAACCTACAATATAGCTTACTTTGTTAGTCTCGAAGCATTAGTAAGATATTTTCAAACCTGTATCATTCACTCCTTAGGTTGTAGTAGATATACGAAATTTATGATATAACTCATTGCGTTAGTCTTGAAGCGGCAATAAGTTATCTAATTTTTGCGGTATAGTTCATTGTATCAATCTCGAAGCAACGATGAATTATCAAGTTTGTGGTATGTATTCTCTAGGTCGTGATAAATACGCAAAGCTACGATATAACTTACTATGTTAGTCTCGAAGTATTAGTAATATATTTTCAAACCCGTATCATTTACTCCCTAGGTTGTAGTAGATATACGAAAGTTTATGATATAACTCATTGCGTCAGTCTCGAAGCAGCAATAAGTTCTCTATTTTCTGCGATATAGTTCATTGTGTTAGTCTCGAAGCGACAATGAGTTATCAAACTTGTGCTATTTATCTCCTAGGTTGTGACAAATAGGTAAAATCTACGTTGTAGCTTACTATGTTAGTCTGAAAGCGTTAATAAGGTAATTATCAAACTTGTGTTATTTACTCCCTAAATTGCAGTAAATATGCAAATCTGTGATATAGCTTATTGCACCAGTCTCAAAGCAGCCATAAGTTATCCATTTAAGTTCGCGTTATTTACCTCCTAGATTATGATAAATACATGAAATCTGCGATTACTTTTTCTAGGTGTCATACTCCAAATTTGTGCGCCTAATTTTTAAAACATTCAAATTTTAATAAAAATTGGTTTCATAAATTTTTTGGGTTTTACTAACATTTGGATTTAACAGTCATTTATTTTGCTTATTTAAAATATATAATAACTTACTTTAAATTATTTGTATTTTAAAAATAGAAAAATATGTTCACACTCTTCATATGTTTCGATGTGCCTTTTTATCTCAAATAGAATGACATATCACAATTGGTAAGGAGCGAGCTTGCAAATATGAGGTCATTGGTTTAAATCTCACTTAGTACACTTTGAATTTTTTTTCTTCTGTTTATTGTTACTAACTCTATTTTCATTTTTAATTATTTTCAAAATCACAAAAATACATCGGGTCAATAAACCAGCGAGATTCATAGTCTTTGTCACAAAGACTGGAATCAATTCTCAATTAATTTTCAATCTTCAAAATCATGGAAAAAATATACTAATTTCATTTTATTTTTTTTACCTAATTCTCAACTATAAATATCCCACTATTTTTATGGTTTAGGACATCAATAAATTTCTATCTCTCTTTCACAAACATTTTTCTAGGCAATATTCTTTTTGGTTTATTTTTGGATTTTATCTTGAAGAGACACTTAACTCTAATTTTGTCTTGAACAGACATCAACGATCATCCACAATCTTACAATTTTTCACTCATTCACTTTCATCACCACGATTATTTATTTTTTTAAAATTATTTAAATTTTTTTAACTTTAACTATTGATTTCATATGAGGTCCCTCCCTAATATTTTCAACTCTATTTTTTCAATATAATTGGTGTGTTTAACCACATGATAATTATCTTGATGCTTATTTTTAAATTATATTTTTTTTCTAACTATTTTTCCATGAACCACTTTTTTATTCACACGGTACATACACCTACTCTTCACACCAAAAAGCTCATTAACCACATACCAGCATCATATCTATCTTACCACTTTCATACAAAAAATTTGCAAATCAATTTTATACCAAACTAATTAAATTAAATTCATAGGCCATAATAGTTTTGTGACATCAATACAGTTCACGTTTGCTTATTTTATTTTTGCAGAAAACAATAGTCATCTTCTCCGCCGTAAGCACGCCGAATCCCACGGATCTGCCGACGCCGAACATCCTCAATCGCCGCAACTAATCGACGGCGGTCCCACCACCGCGAGCCACCGCGGTCTCTCTTTATTGCTCGTCCCGACCACCAAACCGCAGCGACTACCACATCTTCCTCATCTGCCGTTGTCGATTTTCGCTCTCTATTCGGTAATTTAATTTTGCTCTTTTGCTATTGATTTAAGAGTGTTAATTTTGATTTTTGTGTATGAGAAAGCAACTTACCGTAATGTCAAAAGAGAGATAGATCTAAAGATTTAAAAAAAAATGGTGAAGGTGTGTTTTTCACCATGTGAGAGAAAACTGAGAGAAAGAGATTGATTTTCCCTTAATTTGCTTCTTTTACCTTGTTACGTGTTATATTACTCTTGTTTCATTTTTTATATATATAATAGCGCCACATGTCGATTAGTGAGTGGCTTGTGTTATATGTTGGAAATTCAAAAGTCATTTTAATTTTTTATGTGATATAATTGTGGATCGGTGATTGAGTTTAAGGGGAAGCAACATAATTGATGTCTTCATTATTTATTTATTTTCTTGGTCATCATTTTTTATTGTTTATTTAATTTGATTTAGAGTTTGTACACCTCTATTAACTTATTTAATTTAATATATATTTTTAATTAAGACATTTATAGTTTGAACTAATAATAAAAATATAGAATTGTTTCTTTCTAATTTATTTTAGTTAGTAAGTTATTTAGTTAATTTGTATATAATTTATAGGATTCTCTCCAATTAATTCAAATATTTTATATATAATAGGATATATATTCTCGAGTAATTAAGTGGTTGACTTAATGTTTACTAAGTAATTATTCAAAATCAAACAATTGAAATTCATGCGAAATTTGATTTATGCTTAGAATAATAATCAAAAGCTATCACTCAAAGCGATAAATGAACAAAGCCAAATTTCTCCTCCTCAAGCGAATTAATTCTGATAAATATCAAGATTCTTTATCAAGACTCAATTGAATCAATTACTTCACCTAGAGAGACTATATTCTGATGAAAGAGAGACTTTCTTCGACGATTCAAAATTAATCTAAAATAACTAACCAACAATTCAAACCATTTTTTACTAACATAATTCAAAATTCAAGATCATTTTTCAATAAAGGATTAAGTAGCATTGCTTTCAAATCAAAACTACTAATTGCGTCTATGATCACTCTTTTTACAAATCCCAGACAAGGTTCAAGGATAAATTCGAAAGCAATTCTACGCAATTCTATAAAAAACATCAACTAACCATTCGAACTACGAATTTAGACTCTGATTCTTTACAAGGAGATATGTAGGCACGCGGTAAAAACCAAGGCGAGTTCACAACTAAAAAATGACATCTTATTCTCAACATATAGAAATATTAACTACCAAATTCTCAAATTTACCCTTAAACCTAAAAGTGGAGCCCCTTGAGAATAAGGGAGATGAAGGGTGCCTAACACCTCTCCTTCTTCTAATTCACTTACGAATTTAGAATCTCTGTACAAATTAGGGTTATCTGTTATTTCTCCGTCCTTAGGAAAAAATTAATGGTGGAGACTCTCGTATTTTTTGTCGGTTACGACACTAGGTATTGACGAGTTATCCGCATGGTCACATTTAGACCATTTATGTTCACTTCCAAGTATCAATGAGTTAGTTGCGTGATCACTACCCATTTTCTTTTTGGTTTATCACATAATTTATCATTTCTCAAATCTTTCGGTCAAATTTTAGGATCTTCCATTATTTAATAATCCTCCGGTCTAAATGTGCAAGACCTTCGTATTCTCGCACCTTTAATTAAAGAGTAATTAAATATGAACATCTGTCATACCCCGAATTTTCCTGTATAAGTATAAACAATCAATCTCATCTTTGTTAGAACTATTGGCTTATTTTAATATTTTGTATACTAATTTTTATTTTTACATCTATATTATCTTTTTAAAAAAAATCGTGTTAATATAATGGGGTTCAATTTAGGGGATGAGTGTGTTTCGCAGTTTATCTAATGGGTTCATCATTTACTAGCTAATTGGTCCATTAAGAATTGTTGAGAGGCCCACAATATACTTAAATTAAATTTGATTTTATTATTATGGTATTGACTGAAGTTAACATATGTTTCTATTTACTTTTTTTAATATTTTATTTTATATTATTCAGATATTTAACGAAATATATATTATCTACTATTATTATTACATATTGCTTGTTTTAATTTTATCACTGGAATTATTATTCTATTATTATTGTTAGTATTCATTTTATTATTATTATTTGAAGAGTTTGACTAAGTCAACTTTAGGGTTTCTGAACCCTTTGCTTTGCTGCGCCCAACAGTTCTTCTTCGTCCCTAATAAACATCAAAAGCCCAGATCCAGAAGTTGTAAACAAATCAAGTCTGAATCGAATATTTGATAGGAAAGATTGTTTATTGATTTACAACGAATTTCACATACAAAATAGTTCAGATACAAAATCTTTACAAACCTTAATTTCTAAATAAAATATAAATCTATCTCTAATTTACAAATCAAATCAAATCCTAAATTAATCCAAGACCCAATTGACAATTACAATCAATCATTTTTCAATAAAGGATTGAGTAACATGTAAGTCTAAGAGTGCCTAAGAGGGGGGTGAATTAGGTATATAAAAATTTATTCGGTTTTATGAGAATACTTGTAGTAATTTGTGGTTAAGTGTTTGAAGGTTTTTGACTATATCTTATCTTTTCTTGATTATGGTGATGAAAACGATAAAAGCGGAAAAGTAAAGAACACGGCGATATATCCTGGTTCCCCTCACAATCCGAGAGTACTCCAGTCCCCTTTCTAACACGAAAGAGATTTCACTATAGTTTAGAATGATTGTACAACCTATGCTTACTATCTAACCTATAGGGTGACCAAAGGTTCTTAACACCTTTAAGGTCAAACAAACACTAATGTGAATGAAGAACAATCCTCTTCAAATCACAACACTTACTTCCAACAATCCTGGATAGTAAGGAAATACTTTCTTTTTGTAATACAATGATTTATTTGAAAGAGATGGAGAGCACTATCAATCTTTGATTGATCTTCTTCTTCAAGAAAGAAACAATTCTCAAGAAATGATTATAAATGTTCACAATGAATGTATGAAACTTGTAATGATTTCTTAATGAAAATGTATATGGCAAGTTTCACAAAATTTATGATTTGTAAGAACACTTGAAAGTTTGTAAGAATATGCAAATTTGAATGATGAAAATTGTTAATTGAAGAAGGTTATTTGAATTTGAAAATCTGCACAATTTATAATGTCACAAATACCTCTTCATTCATGCCATTTGATATGAAAAGATGCAATGCAATCATGAAAGAATACCATTTGAATTATGTTCAAAAAACAAAAGAAAATCTGTACTGGTTCGCTGGGAACCGGTTCTTAGTGAACGTTATAACCCAGAATTCAAAAAACAACACGCAGGAATCGGTTCCCCTATAAGTACTACCCGGTTCCTGGTACAAATTCCAGGGAAGTGTTTTTTAAACAAGTTTGGAACCCGGTTCCCTGTTAGATAGGAACCGGTTCCTGAAAGTTTATTTTCAAAAAATCCTTTTGAAAAAGATTTCAAACATAGTTTTTCTTATTGTTAAAAATGTGGGATATGTATATGATTATGAATGCATATTTGTGAACATCTATATTCAAGTTTAAGAATTATTTATACCTTTTGACATTTGTTGTTTCTTTAATAATTCTTCTTCTAATCTTCAAGACTTGTAACAAGGTTTTATATGATATTGATAAACTTTTTGCGCATCCTTTGAATGTTGATATCCATGTTGTCTTCATCAAAACCAATGCTTTACACATGACTTGAGAAGCTTGCAATTACATTCTCCCCCTTTTTGATGATGACAACCAAGTCTTGAAAACAATTCTTGAAATGTTTATGTTGTTTTGTGTAGCAAAAATGTTAAGCAAATGCAAGGCTCCCCCTAAATTGTATGCTCCCCCTAAGTCCATGATTCTTTGAATTTTGGAGTGAGTTTTATGATAGTTATTTTAGCCTGCAATTTCTTTGAAACAAAACAACACATATGCATATTCTTCTCCCCCTTTGTTAACATCAAAAAGGATGGGGAAAAAGAGTGAAACAAATTCATTTAAAAAACACAAACAATATATACACACATATAAAAGAAGGAGTAGAAGCAGAGTGTACTGAAACATAAAATTTTTTTTGAAGAAAAATTAAGACGTGCACCTTATGAGAAACATTTAGAGATCAACTTCATCCAAAATACCAAGTTCTCTTCGGATTTTGAAGAATGGTTCTCGAGCAAGCGGTTTTGTGAAGATATCTGCGAGTTGGTTATGAGTATCCACAAAAGTGACTTCGACATCTCCTTGAAGTACATGATCACGGAGAAAATGATGTCGAATATCTATATGTTTGGTTCTTGAATGCATGACCGAATTCTTTGTAATATTGATAGCACTTGTATTGTCGCATCGAAGAGGAATGCATCCAAGATCAAGTCCGTAATCACGGAGTTGTTGCTTGAGCCAAAGAATTTGTGCACAACAACTACCCGCTGCTATGTATTCTGCTTCGGTCGTGCTAAGAGCAACACATGCTTGCTTTTTACAAGCCCATGATACTAATGCATTTCCAATAATGTGACAAGTACCACTTGTGCTTTTACGATCAGTTTTACAACCTGCATAATCCGCGTCAGAATAACCAATTAAAGTGCAAATACTACCTTTAGGATACCATAAGCCGACATTGGTTGTTCCTTTGAGATACTTCATGATCCTTTTAACTGCCATGAGGTGTGATTCCTTTGGATTTTCTTGAAAGCGAGCACAAAGA